CAAGAGAATGAAAATCCAACTTGGGGTTGGTAGGGACAGTCACTTGGCTCAGCAGCGCTGCTGGGCTCACCCACTTTATGCATAAGCAGATGAGGCATCCAGCCCACCACGGCTGCTCCCCAGGGAAGACTTGAAGGAGGTGAAATGATGCCAGCTCTCATCCCGGAGGGGTTCTGGCTGGCTGGCAAGGCACACGAAACTAACATGAGCTAGGTCTGGAAACTGACAGAGAAGGAGCCCAGGGATTTTGGTTTTAGCTCTGCAGGGCGTGCGCCCCTGCGTGCGTGTGAGCATGTCCATGCGTGCGTGCATGCGTGTGTGTGTGTGTGTGTGCAAGGATGTGGGGGTACACAGGGGTGGGGAGGAGGGGCCTTAGAGAACAGATTAGACTGGTAGTGTGCTGGGCAGAGCCTTCCTGGGCAGAGCCTCTAGCTTCTTCTTTGATGTGTCACTGGGTAAGTCATTGTATTGAGTAATCACTGAGAACCTAACCCGTATTAGGCCCTGCCCTAGGGATACTGGTAGACCCTGACCACACAGAGTTCACAGCTTGGCAAGAGAGAGGCAAGATTACAACATATTGCTCATATACCACAGAGCTTGGGAGAGGCCTTGGAGCCATATCTGGTTTGAATTGTACTCTGCCACTTACCGATGGGGGGATGCCGGCAAGGAATTTCCCTTTTCTGAGCTTCAGCTTCCTTATCCAGAAAATGGAACTAGTAATACTTTCTTTACAGTTTTCATATGAACCTTAACTAAGATAATGGTTGTAATGCACTTAGTTCAGTAGTTGGCACATGGTAAGCACTAAGAAATGGGTGGCTCTTTAAGTAACACTCTATCCTTGTAAGGAAACCTCTTTGGATGGAAAGGGGGCTTGAGGCAAGAGCTGAGGACTTGGAAACGGAGCTCCTAGATTTAATTCACACTCTGCCACCGCTTAGCTGAGTTACTTTGGACAAGTCATTTCCTTTCTCCAGCTCTTTACTATCGGTAACACTAGCAATCACCACCACCATCACCACTACTATCATCCCCCCAAGACTGGAAAAGCCAAGTCCCACTGGGTCCAGAGTTGAGGACACCGGTGTGGGGGGGGTGGGACATATAACCCACGCTCTTCCAGGCCATAGGCATTTGTCCCAACAGTTATCTTACACTGTTTGTCACGAAGGAATATTCCATGAAGGAGGCTAGATTTCAGGAGGAATCTCTGAGCTGAGATTGGAAGCCAAGCTGCTGAGAAGGTGGGGGTCTGAGTAAGTCCTTACATAAAATCTGACTTCACTGTTTCCACAAGCGTAACCACAGTGCTGAGGAACTCGTCAGCTCACATTTCATGACAGGTTGGTCGCTGAGTGCAGGGCACGTTGGTTTCAGCTGCTTTCACTAAATCCTGCTCCCCGGGCCAAACAGCGACACATCTCTTCATCTCGGAAGAGGTGGTCCTCCTTCCTAGAAGGGCCCAATGGTGATTTCTGCCAACCCCACAAGCCACAGTCGGTGCCGACGGGGTGAGCTGCTCGCCTGTAGCTCCTGACGGGAAGGCTCTGGGCAGTGTCTGTGCCAGGCCTGCCAGGCCAGGAGCCAATAACACGCACACTACGCCGGGAGCTGCCTCTCACCGGGGGTCCCAGTCATGCCAGACGTGGTGTCAACCACTTTACCTCCATCTTCTCACTGAATCCTTACCACAATCCCATAGGTGATTTTACCATGAAGGAAACTGAGGTGGCAGGGGTCGGGGGGAGGTTAAGCAACTTGCCGAAGCCATTCTACTAGCAGGGAGTAGATTTTCTGAGGCAAAGTCCAGTGCCTGTCCCACCACCTTGTAGTTAGCCCCCGGACATAGAGACAGCCCCCCAGCTTCAGGGGCATCCAGTCAGTAAGGCAGTTCTTGCTCACCTTTGTGGCAAAAACTCGATAGCTTTCAAACAGCTCCCACTGGCTGAAGTGCCCTCGGAAGGGCGGTAGGAGCGAGACGCGAAGCGCTCACTCTAGCCAGGCACTATTCGATGCACGTACATACGTTCTAGAATTTGACGGTCACATGAGCTTTGAGGGAGACATCATTATCTCCAGTTTTCAGATCAGGAAACTGAAGTTGAGAGAAGTCAGTACCTTGCCAAGGTCACACAGTTAGCACGTGGCAGTGGCGGGACCGAGGCCAGCAGGTACCGTTGATACAGGGTGGGTGGCGAGAGAGAACCACCTTCCAAGTGCCTTCACTCACCTTCAGCCTGGCTTCTGGGGGGAAGCGACAGCTGAGGAGAAACAGTGGCCCGTGGAGAGGCGACACGGAGTGCTGGGCTGCAGGTGAGGCCCGGGGCCCCAGGCTGAACGTTGGCCGCCAGCCTCCTCAGGCCCTGGTGTGCCTTAGGCAAGGCTGGCAACCCCCTGAGCCTCGAGGTGATGTCCTACCTGGTCCCCCTGCCCACGGGGCTGTCACTGTGGGGGTGCGCGTGCGTGTGTGAAGTATCTCTGTAGGCTGGGAAGCACTCGACAAACACAAATTGCTTTTACTATTGCCAGGGGAGACAGTAATTTCGAAGCCATCTTTGAAATTCCTGGCCGGGTTGGCAGTCATGACACTGTTTTTGTCAGCTGTAGGTTGGAGCTTTAAGAACTATAATCCACATTTCTGAAAAGGCATATTTCATCTTGCCTCTATCAAATGTCTTCATTAATATCAAGGGCTCTCATCAGTGGCTGTTTTAATCATAATCATAACAGCAGCTAACATTTACTGAGCCCCTATCACAAGCTGAGTAGCATGCTAAGTGCTTCTTTAATATCATCTTAAATAATTCACCACATGATAATTTTCCAAATAATAACCCCAGAGGGTAGGGACTGTCACCACCTCCATTTTACAGCTCAGAGAGGGGAAGGAACTTGCCCAGAGTTATAACTAGGACCAGCGTTTGAACCAAGGTTTGTTGGGCTCAGGGACGCTTCTCATCACTTGGAACGCCTCTGCCTTCACACACGAGGCCACACACACGTTTGACACCAGTTATGGGGAGTGGTGTACGAGGAAGGGAGGATGATGAGCTCTCACAGTTCTATTCAAAGTCCCTTCCAATGGGTCTGCCATGTCCTTTTACAGGACCAATGAAAGAATGCTTAGTGATCTCACCCAAAGTTATACCTGCCTCCGTGAAAGGCTGTACAGTTTCATCGGGGATTAACAAGGCACAAACAGTTATATACCTATCATAAATTAGCTTTGTGGCCACATAACAAACAATACAACCCAGTGTGGCTTCACGAGGACCATTTATTATATTGCTATAAACGGAGCTATATAAAAAGAATTATTCTTAAGATCCTGCGCGTCTGTGTTTGCAATCATGTCTTAATGCGAGCTTTGCAAACAAGGATACAAGTCCAATTTAGACTGCCTGTTGCACACCAATTCTCCATTTAATGGGGCAAGGTAGTTCAGAGTATTCCAAAGGCACAGATGCTGCATGGATCTCATTTTTGCCAAAGGCCTCAGCCATCTTTCCTGATCACAAAAAGGACTGTTAATATGCAACATAATGAGTTCATTTGAGCTGCACTTCGTTTACAGTGTGGCGTGGTAAAGAAAGTGATTTAAGTAAAAAAAACCCAAAAAACCATAGTGGGGGATGCTGCCACGTTTTAGCTGTGTGTCCTTGGGTGGGATTACTTAAAAATTTCCTGTGCCTTAGCTTCTTTATCATTATTTCTCTTCATTTGTTTGTTTGCTGTCTCCCTCAGTGGAAGCTCAACAAAGATTGGGACTTTCTTATCTCTTTGTTATCTCTGATTAGAAGAGTGTCTAGTACATAGTAGGTATTCAAAAGTATTCATTGATTAAAGTATTATGTAAATCAGTGAAACAGGGGTGATGATACCTTTCCCACAGAGCTTTCATGTGGATTTAAACGGTGGACTCTGTTGAAATGAGATCTGAGAAGTGAACACACCTACCATATCCCAGTACTGTGCTAGGTGATTTACACATGTTCTCATTCAAGCCCTCGTCTGGAGAGGGTCTACAAATCATAAAGCACTTAAGAACAGAAGGGTGCTAATGTAATGATCCTTTGAATGTTATCTATATAAACCCTCTATATATGAACTGAACACTACAGTGAAGAACACATTCAATCATGTGTTCTTTCATGTGTTTATTATCCATTCGTCAGTATTTATCAAGCAGCTGCTGTGGGCCAGGCCTGTGTTGAGTCCTGGGCATGGAGGGTGAACAGACACGTTTGCTATCTTCATGGAACTTACTGGCTAGCAGAGAATCTGGCCAGAATGTCTGGTGGGGATCAGGTCACAGAGAACCCTAAATAATACACTGAGTTCAGACTTTATTCTGATGAACGAGTGAAACCAAAGAGTTTGACAGCTGGGACCTGATTCCCCCACGTTTTTTTAGAGAGGTAGGGGGAGGAAGGGTGGGGCAGAGGGAGCAAGAGAATCCCAAGCAGCCCAAGCAGGCTCCCTGCTGAGTGTGGAACCCGACCTGGGGCTCGATCTCACAACACGGGGATCACGACCTGAGCTGAAATCAACAGTCAGACGCTTAACCGACTGAGCCACCCAGGTACCCCTGGACCCGAGTCCTTTAAAGCCTCATCCCTGCAGGTCTTACCTAGGCGCACTGTTCCCTATGGACTTGCCTCTAGGGATGACCACCGTAACATGGGAGATGAGATTTCAATCTACTATTCTAATTCACATGGTTATAGGACAATGTTTTCACTCTCAAGGCACCACTATGGAAGAAATGATGTGAAGATTAATTTCTGAATCTTCTGCTGATCTGAAAGTACAGGTGCTGAAGGATGGTGTTCAGGGGAAGAGGAAAAGTAACACCTCCCCCCCCCCCCCCCCCCCCCCCCCCCCGCTAAATGACCAGGAACAGGGTCAGATCACTGACGGGGAATGAATGGCGCGCATGTAATGGTGGGAAGCTCCTCCCTCCTGCCACGCGGTGCCCTTCTCCCCACACTTACCGATAGAACAGTCATGTCCTGTCCAGCCTGGGTCACAGCTGCAAAGGCCGGTGTCTGGGAGGAAGGTTCCGTGGCCCGAACACTGGTCCAAGCACGTGGCCCTGGGCATCTCGCAGTTGGCGCCTCCCCATCCCACGGAGCAGTGGCACTCGCCTCTCACACACACCCCCCGGCCTGAACACGTGGGGTCCATGCAGTCCACTGTGACACGGAGCAGAGAAAACAGAGAGAACACAGGTGAGCATCTGACCAGTGAAGTGGTGAAGTACTACACTTCGTCGTGGAGGGGCTTCACCCTGGTAAGAGGACACAGACATCCTGTGGAGAGGCCACTGAATAGAGTAAAGAGGAAGAACTTGGATGAACAGTAGACCTGGGTTCCTGGCTTGATAGGAGGCTGACTGCTTACCTAGGGGAGGTTCCCTTGCCTATAAAATGTGGATACAAATTCCTACTTCTTGGTTTGTAAGGCAGAGTAGGAAATGCATATCAAGGGGCACCTGGCTGGCTCAGTTGGTAAAGCATGTGACTCTTGATCTCATGGTTATGAGTTCAAGCCCCATGTTGGGTGTGGAGCCTACTTAAAAAAATAAAGAAATATATATCAAGTGTTAGCATGGTACCCAGTGCCTGCGGCACCTGTAATAACTACACCAGTTAGCAGACAAGACTTCATTTTGTCCCCTTCTGTGTATCCAGCTCCTAGAAAGGTGCTCAGCACAGAGGAGGTGCTCAAGAAATCTTTGTCGAATAAACTATTATTGTTTACCACTTCACAATACAGTCTTACCATGAAGGTGGGACTAAAAGAGATTCCTTAATTGAAAAGAGAATTTATTTTGCATTTAAATTCCATCAGATGTTATCATCTTCCCAAAGTTCTTGTGACTGACACAAACTTTCAAACCTCACTTTCCAGAGGGCAAACATTTCAATGACTATTCAAAATTACATGCACTGCCATGAGAGACTCTGGACTCCAGGAAACAAACTGAGGGTTGCAGAAGAGAGGGGGTAGGGGGGATGGGGTGGCCGAGCGATGGCCATTGAGGAGGGCACGTGACGTGATTAGTACTACTATATGTTGGTGAATTGAACTTAATAAAAAACAACAACAACAGGGGCGCCTGGGTGGCTCAGTTGGTTAAGCGACTGCCTTCGGCTCAGGTCATGATCCTGGAGTCCCGGGATCGAGTCCCGCATCGGGCTCCCTGCTCAGTGGGGAGTCTGCTTCTCCCTCTGACCCTCCTCCCTCTCATGCTCTCTGTCTCTCATTCTCTCTCTCTCAAATAAATAAATAAAATCTTAAACAAAACAAAACAAAAAAAACAACAACAAAAACCCCCACAAAATTATATCCACAGGCTTTGCACAGCTTCTCCTCACATAGGGGGTGAACTGTATAGCTGTGGCTCATGGCCAAGCAACCCCTGTAGGGCTCCTAGAGCCCAAGGTCAAGGTGGTCTCAAGAGACCAACCCAGAAAGAGAGAAAGGAGAATAACATGTGGGTTACCTGCTCTGTGCCTGCACCATAGGATGCGCTTTACATATATCCTCAGAATCAGGTTCTTCCATAACCCCGTGAAGTACAGATGAGGAAATTAAGGCTCAGAGAGGCAAATAATTTATGCTGGATCATACAGTTAACCCTGCCAGAGAGGAATCTGAAGGCCTATCGGATTCTGAAGCCAATATGTGTTACTGGGGTTGATTTCCCTAAATCAAAGCTTTAGGTACGGGGCTGCACAAAATTAACAGAGACCTCTAATCTTCCATAAAGCCCTGCACAGAAAAAGCAGAAGGAGAGTATTGAGGGCCACCTTATCACATGGCTCCAGTTCACATGGAAAGTGCAAAAGGCAGCAGAGAGAAGACAGAGTTGGCAAAGGCCGGTCCAACTCTACCAAAAAGTTGTGAGATCTTTCATTTTAGGAAGGCAGAGGATTCCCATTCCTCTTGCAATTGTAAGGGAGGATGGTGTCCTGGTAGGGCCGCCATGTGCAGCAGCTGGAAAAAGGGTTGACGGTGCCGTAGCGAGTGTGGTCAGCTTCCTCCAGGAAGCCCTCCAGAGGAAGCCCTGTCCTCCACAGGAAGGAACTTGGCAACCGATCTCGGAGGTCCTAGGTTCAAGGGTCACGGGACAAAGGCACTGGTTCTAGGACTACTGTCAAGTCACATACCTCCTCTGAACTTCCCGTGTCAAAATTATCTAACAGTTGCTAATGAGGACACTGAGGATTTGGAAGGACCCTGTGAGCGATACACTGTTGCCAAGAAGTTACTTTTCCATCCTATCAGGACCTTCAGTGGCATGACTTGGGTAACCTGGAGAGAGGCGCTTTTACTTTATAATTCAGGCATGATTTTACTTCATTGATTAATTAAATTTTATAACCCCACATATTTGACTTTTGCAGAAAAGATGGGGAAACCTGGCCTTGGTACGTTAAAGTCACAGACACAAATGGACAGAAACTGTACGAACGGCCACATACTGGGAACACAGTGTCTGTCTGAGGGCCAGCTTATCAAGATAGCTCTTTTACTTTTTTTTTTTTTTAAGATTTTATTTATTTGACAGAGAGAGACAAAGCGAGAGAGGGAACACAAGCAGCGGGAGTGGGAGAGGGAGAAGCAGGCTTCCTGCAGAGCAGGGAGCCCGATGCGGGGCTCGATCCCAGGACCCTGGGATCATGACCCGAGCCGAAGGCAGGCGCTTAACGACTGAGCCACCCAGGCGCCCCAGCTCTTTTACTTTTTAGGTCTTGAAAAGGAGTTCAATTTAATAACCTAAATGAGACATCAGAAGGTCAGAAGTCAGGAGCAATCATTTGCTAAAAACAGAATCTTGGGAACAACAATAGCAACAACAATAATAATAACAACTAGTACTGATGTAGTCCCTCTTCTGGGCCATATTTTGCTATTCAACCATTTACCTCCACAGTCTCATTTAACTCTAGTGACAATTCTTTGAGGTAGATACCATTACTATCCCCATTTCACAGATGAGGAAATGAAAGCATAGAGAGGTTAAATAACTTGCCCAAGATCACATAGTGGTAAGTGGAGGAATTTAAATTTGAATCACTCTTTCCTGGTACACATCTCTTGCTATTTCTTCTGTAATCTTACTGGTTCAAAAATACACACATACATATATACAGACCTAAATGGTTAAAAAATAGAAATAAAAGCAAAACAAACCAAGAAAAGAAATAGAACAAAGTGGAGAATTAATAAAGCCAAATGAAGGCAAAGAATCTTCTCTCGCAGTCTCTGGACACCACTTCATGATGGTTAAAGCATGACCCATTGGAGTTCCTGGTAATTAAAAATAATAAAAATAATAAGTGATATATTTTCATGACAAGCCTCACATCTCAGAAACTCAGAAGGATTATTCTGGCCCATTAGGCTACTATGATAATTCCCTAGATCCAGAGAGCTTTCCAATTTGACAGGAAACGACTCAGCAATTCTTGTCCTGAGGCCCATAAAGGTATTTCCCATTCTGGGAGCGCCTGGGCCCAGGCTTCGGGGTTGATGCTATCTCTGAGGCGCCCTTGAGGTGGAATCTATAAATCTGCAAGTGAGCAAGCCGAGAGGGTGCCAAGTTTAGCAAGAGGCCCTTGGCGTCACAGTCCTGCTCCTCAGACACAATAAGTCTGAGAGGGACCCAGGAACCAGCAAAGCGAATCCCACACTCTCAGAAGATGGTCCAGGCAGGGAACGAAGACCAGAAGGCACTGACGACAGGACTGCACCTCAAGAGAAGGCCACTCGGCTAAAGTGGCCGAGCAGCGTCCCTGCAGGGAGGACGCTGTCCCTGCTGACCCGATACCTACGGCCATTATCTACGCCACCGTGACACTCTGCTGGAGACATCCTCTGTAGACTCAGGATCTGCTCTCGCTTTCTGGGGCCTCTGGGGTGATGGGAACCCTAGGATGGGATGAAAGTTGTCTTCCTTCTATCACACCAAGATGGTTTCACAAATGACATGTTTCCCTGGGAGCTGTGGGTCACACGGGGAGACCCAGCCAGCCCGTGGTGGGGGAGCTCTATGCTGAAGGAGTAGGGGAGAGGTTGGCAGGGAAGTGGGCCGAACTCTGGGTAGAAGACAGTCTAACTTAGTTTCTGCTTAGACGAGGGGCCAAACAGTTACCTGTTTTTTCCTCTGCAGAGCCTGACATTCAAGTCAAAATTTCTGGCAGAAGCTTAGCCCATTAACAAAATGAGGAGGCCTGCACGGCCAAGCTGCAAACACAACTCTTTCCCCAAAATGTGCCCTGCTTCAGTGACCACACAAGCTATTAGATGCTCTTCAGGACCAAAACACAGTGTCACTTTGCACTGCAAAAGGCCTAAGGTGTTCTCTTCTGACCCCCCCCCCCCCCAAGCGTCCTGTTGGCACGGTTTGGGCTTTAAAAAATACGGGGCCATAAACTTCAGAAGAAGAAGAGAGAGACAGGGAAAAAATAAGCTTGTTAGTTGATGTTTTATAAATACGGTGAAACCCGTCAGAAGAGAGCTGAGGGAGGAGGAGGAGAGAGAGGAGTGGGGCGGGGTGGTGAGAAAGGCCCCAAGAAACCCGCATTATAAACACAAGGACTGTGCAGTGACGCTTCACCAGGGAAACAGAAATAATAAAAGGAATCAGTACCACATGGCCCTCCTCAGAAAAGAAAGGAGTCAAAACACTTCTTTCAAATAGATAACGTAAATCAAAGAGCTAAACAACTTTATTTTTCTCCCCTTTGTAAGTAAGCCTGCCCGCTGGGGCACTGTCCAGAACCAGCTGAGCTGGGGAAGGGACAGCGGGCCCTCCCTGGCCCACAGGACATGCTGGACTTCAGGGTGGGAGGACCCCAGTGTTTCAAGAGGAATCTCCTCTTTGCTTTTCTTTTCTTCTCTGGGTCTTCACCTCAAGTGACTAAAATGCAAAGGGAAAGCAGATGAAGGTCACCATTGTCGGGATGAGAAAGCGAAGTTCCTTTGTTCCAGAGGCTGGCACTCCTCCTTTCTCAGACAGCCCAAAGTAATCCCCATCAAAGTTAATAGGTCTGAATCAGGACCTCCAGGCACACTTGGGGTTTACAGGCAGGCTGTCTCAGAGAGGCGCTGCTTTTCAGACACTAATCCTTTCCTGTTCCCCACTCTTCGAAAGTGGGCCCATTATATTGGCTCTTTTTTTTTTTTTAAAGATTTTATTTATTTATTTGACCGAGAGAGACACAGCGAGAGAGGGAACACAAGCAGGGGGAGTGGGAGAGGGAGAAGCAGGCTTCCCGCGGAGCAGGGAGCCCGATGTGGGGCTCGATCCCAGGACCCTGAGACCCTACCCAAGCCGAAGGCAGATGCTTAACGACTGAGCCACCCAGGCGCCCCTTGGCTCTCTTTTTTTTCCCCTTTTTCTTTCTTTCTTTCTTTCTTTCTTTCTTTCTTTCTTTCTTTCTTTCTTTCTTTCTTTCTTTCTTTCTTTCTCTCTCTCTCTCTCTCTCTCTCTCTCTCTCTCTCTCTTTCTTTCTTTCTTTCTTTCTTTCTTTTTTTTTTTAAAGAGAAATGATACCCTGAGAGGGGCCTATGTGTTAAATCCCAAATGGTTAGGAGGTTAGCTCTCCTCTGGAGCCTCTTGCATCCGCCACGAAGATGCCAGTGCCCTATATGGTGGGCAGTGGGAGGGAAGCCCATTAGCAGCGTCCTCCCATTTCTAAAGGCCTTGGATAAAGTGACTGGGGTGAAACAGGAAATGTGCTCCAACCGTCCCCAGATTAATACTAATAATATAAGACCTAACATTTATGGGGCATTTATTATGTGTCAGACACTGCTTTACATGGGTCATTTAATTCAATCCTTATGATGGCCCTCTGAGGAAGGAAATCCCATTTTATTTTTATTTTTTTTTAGATTTTATTTATTTATTTGAGAGAGAGAGAATGAGAGAGAGAAAGCACATGAGAGGGTGGAGGGTCAGAGGGAGAAGCAGACTCCCCGCCGAGCAGGGAGCCCGATGAGGGACTCGATCCAGGGACTCCAGGATCATGACCTGAGCCGAAGGCAGTCGCCCAACCAACTGAGCCACCCCGGCGTCCCGGAAATCCCATTTTATTGATGAGGGAAGCGAGGCTAGTTAGTGGCACAACCGGGACTCAAACCTACATCTGATCCCAGAGCAGGCGCTCTTAAAAGCCACTTGTATATATATTGCTTGTGAAGAAGACCCTTCTCGTCTACAAATCCCATGCAGGCAAGAAGAAAGAGGGCCCTGAAGTCAGAAGACCTGGGGTGGGTCCCAGCCCTGCTGCTGGCTAGCCCCATGGCCGCGGGCCCGCAGCTGCCCTTCCTCAGGCCACAGAAATGCCCACATAGCTCACCAGATGAGACTGCCTAGGGAAGAGAGGCGCACTGTTAAAGTGGAAGCTCACTTGCTAGCCTCCACTACGCACAGTTTACTTTAGGAAGGAAAGAGACACACTCACAAGCACCGATGAGCTACACACACATACCTCTGCTAACAGAGGGCAGAGTCTGGAGGTCTGTAACAGACTCTCACTTAAGACATGGACAGAATATGAGCTTAAAGGGGAGGAGAAAGAACCTGGGCTCGGGGGCCAGAAACACGGGGCTCAACCCCAGTGCCGCCACCTGCAGCCGTGTGACCCTGGGCAGGTCATGTGACTCTCTGAGTCCCGGTTCCCCTAACTATGAAACAGAGGTAATTACCTCACCCTATCAGTTTTGAGGTTAAATGATCGAAGGCTTCCAGGACACAGCCTGCATACAGTGACACTTCTCTGCCCTTCACCAACTAGGGCTCCCGTTTGCCTGTCCTCTTGTGCTAAGTTAGTTATCGCTGCTGGCGGGTGCCCGGCTCGGGGCAGAGCTGCGCCCTGCACCCTGAAGCGTTCCGAGAGGAGGCGGGCCGCCCACCCCACTCCGAGGTCCTACCTTCCTCACAGCTCTCGCCCTTGTAGCCGGGGTTGCAGATGCAGGTGCCCATGATGCAGGTGCCGTGGCTGCTGCAGGCCACGTCGATGCACTGGCTGGTGGGCACGTCGCACTCGGCGCCCTTCCATCCGCTGTGGCACAGACACCGGCCCTTCACGTACTGGCCGTTTCCGCTACAGAGCACGGGGCAGGAGGCTGCAGAGACAGCATGGCAAGGCTGGCGTGAACCGATGCCTGGCGCGGCCCACCTGCCTTTGTCCCTTTCTCCCTTCGGCCTGCAGGCCGGACCAAGAGCCTCAAGTGCTTTGCCACAGTCCCCGAGTGTATCCATCTGTCTGCGTCTCTGGCTTTATTTCATTCTGGTTTAAACACATGTGTAACTGTAGGCTACGCTGTGCCGTGCAGGGCCTGGTGGAGTTAAGCGCCCACTGAACGCTGCTCTCCTCCATCCCCCTCGTACTGTGGGTGCAGCATGGTGGTGGGGCCAGGACCCTGACGCACAAAGCTTCCATCTGTTCCTTGGTCTTACTGGAAAAGACAGCGGCTGGGCCTCCTGCCTGCCCCAATCTCCCCTCCAGCACTCTCCTGACAGCATTCCATTTTGTTCCCTGTGCCCCATCTGCAGCACCACCTGCTGTCTCTCTAACCCAGCAAAGCTCAGCCTTTCTTGCCTTTTAGGCTCCACTCAAGCCCCACACACTAGTGACCCCATAAGAGAATAGCTCAGCCCAACTTGGCTCTTTAAAGTATTACCTTCCCATTCTGCCTCTTAGCATAAAGCGTTGCGTGATCATCCGTATGAAGGACATGATATAAAAATAAATTATATTGCACTGTGCAGTAAGTACCTACCAGCCTTACTGAGATACAATAAGGCTGTTTTATACGTGACTCTCAAGTTTAAGTGTGGTTGGGATGAGACAGTAATTCTTGTTAGAGGGAATGACTCATCTCTTCTCACTGCACCCCATTCCCCTGGCCCCCACCTGGTTTCTTTGCTTTTAGAGGCACTCAGCAGGTAATCACTGTGGTTCCTCGGGGCTGCAGCTCTGCAATCTCAAACGGAGTCTCTCCCACATTAGGAACAACAAGCTGAAGCCCCCAAACAGCATCATGTCACAGTATTTGCTGGGCACTCTGAAAAACCACCTCTGCCTCACACTGATGAACGACTATTCAAGCATCAGGTCTGGATTCCAATTCCAATTCCATCCAGGGAGCTTTCCTGGTCCTCATCGTGTCCAAGCTAAGACAGACGCTCCCTGAATTTAACCTTGGTGTAGCGTGTTTCACTTGCCCATGACTGCTTTGTCATCGTCTACTTACTTGTCTGTCCCCCTGACCAGACTGAGAGCTCCTGGGCTGGGCCTCGCTCAGTGCTCTAACCCCAGCACCTAGCACGGGAACAAGCCCCAAAGGGCACTAAGCAAACACTTGCTGAAGGATTGAAGAGGTGGGAAGACCAAAGGAAGGAGCCATTTCAGTTTCCCAAGAGGAGTGCCAGAGCCTCAGACTACAGAGCTCCTTTGGCCTTTGCCCTGTTGTCTCTTCCAAGGACAGAAAGGAAGGCCAAATGCACGGGGCACATCACGGGTAGCCTTTAAGCCATCTCAGTACTGGTCATCATTAGCACTGTTCATGCCCAGATATGAGGCAACATTAGGGTCCCGTGTGGCATAAAGCAGCCCCCCACCCAACCCCTCCCCTCAGTGGTCTCAACAGAGATCCCGGCACCATGGAGCAGTAATGCAGGCCTGGCCACAAGGCCAGAGAGACCACACTTGCGAAGTGACTGGCAAAGCCCCTTGGCACATGTCAATTATCCTTCAATAATCAAAAAACAAAATGGAACAACCTCCCCCCCGCAAAAAAAAAAAACCCCACCAAAGGCACTTGGCAAAGGCTGAGCAGTCCTCAAAATGGAAATCAACTTTTTAAGAGAACCACCACTGCCACTTCCCCTGCGCCTAGCACAGACATGAGGTTCACGCAGACCCTGCTCTCGGGGCTTCCGGACAACGGCCCTGGGGGGCCCTTCTCACGGGAGACAGCAGGTGGCCCGGGGCCCTGCGCTTGCTCTGAGAAGTGCAACGTGCACCACCCACGGGGCCGGGAGGAGTGGGGGTCGCCCGCAGACACACAGGTCTCACCTCTGCCACAGTCGGGGCCCAGGAAGCCCAGGAAGCAGTGGCAGGTCCCAGAGATGCAGTCCCCGTTGCCATAGCAGTTGCTGGGACAATTATCCACCGACTCTGGTGGGGAAGAGAGAAGGAGAGTTGAAAAGAGGCCTTCGTTACCCAACAGAAGGCCCAGGGATCCAACCTCAGGTTAGCCAGGGCCCACACATTCGAGGTCTTCCGGCCCAGTCACTGAAAGGAACCGACAAGAGTTAAAAATTATGCGTTATTTTTACTCTTAGTGCATCTCAATTGACACTAAAAGATGTGTTCTGGAAAATGTCCGCCTGAACCAAGATTTTATGTATCAAATTTGTATCTACAAATGCATTAGAAATTCTGCAGCTAAAACACTGGGGAAAACAGCATAAGCTGTCAGCGGTGCTGCTTTGTGGAGGCCAGCTTATTGGGCGAGTCTCACGGTCTTCTTCGCACTTTCCGTGCTTCACATTTTTCTCATAATGGGCCGATATTCCATTTTCTTGGTTTTTTCTTAGAGCTACTGGGCATTTGCAGACCTGTCTTTTCCCATGTCAGGGTTTTCACCTATTGACCGGGTGCCCACCGTGGGCCCACCAGGGCTAACACAACAGCCTGGAAGCTGGCCTCCTGCTTCCCCTCTCACCCCCCACTCTGATTCCGTCACCGCCCAGTGGACTGAGCCATCTCTCGGGAACAAATATGATCCTGTCATTCTCCTGCTTAAAATCCTTCGATGGCTCCCCATTTATTGAGACAAAAAAATTCCAAGATCTCTCAAAGGCACTGGAGTTTTCTTTCACATTCCCTTTGCTGTACCCGCCTCCCCGGCATATGTGGTCATGCCCACCTTTTGCTGGGATGGGATTTTCTCAGACTCTTCCTACTACTTTTCCTATATTCTGTGTGACCTGACAAGGAAATATGGAGTTCATTTAAGAAAGATTTTAGCAAACAAACAAACAAACAAAAAAAATCGTCAATGTTTTGTAGCTTCAGGTAGTAAGCCTATTATCTAGAAAATCTGTTTATTTGGAACAGCCTGTTTCTCAATAATGCTGGGTGTGGAATAAGGGAAAGAAGCCACTCTATACTGGAGCCTTCTTTGTGCCACATGTTTCCACAAAGTTTCTCCCATTTCACTGTCACCAAATCTGCAAGCATGTATTGTTATTCCTATTTTTAAAAAAGAAAAAAAAAAAGAGGAGGCTCAGAGAAAGATGAAGTGGCCTGCTGAGAATCACAAAGATGCTGAGTTCTGGAGGCAGGATTTGAACCCAGGACTCAGGGCCTGGTCTTCTTCAGTGATGCTGTGCTCTCTGTTCCTCAGAAGGAACAAGGTGACAGATCAATGGCACAGTGAGGCTGGTCTTGAAGACAGCAAAGGATCCCGCTGTAAGGTAGTAAATTCTAGGGCTTTCAGGGCTTAAAGGATCCAAAAGACCATAGCCTAATGCTCTCATTTAATAGTGAAGAAAACTGAGACCCGGAGAAAGGTCAGGGACTCACCCAAGGTCTCAGAGTGCGTCAGCAGAGTCCGAATTGAAAGCAGAGGAAGGGTTAGTCAGGTGGGACAGAGTTAAGGATTCAACGTGTTGTCTTAGCTCACAACTACAAGCCATGAAGCTAAGACTAAGGCCTCTGCTAAATGAGATGTTAGCGTCTAAGATGTGAGTCTTGCCCACAGGGAATCTGCAGCCTAACTGGGAGAAAGAGACGACAGCTGTCACCCAGGCAGTAGCACGGGGCATGGAAGAAGTTGTGCCTGGAGGTAAAGAGACCTTGTACGGGGGCCCATTCTTCTAGTATCATGCTGGGGGGGCCTAAAACAACTTCCTGCCCCTCTCTGGGCCTCACCTCCTTCATATATAAATGAAGGTGATGGCAGAGATGATGACCCCTGGGACTGCTACCTGTTCTAAAATTTTATGAGTCTATAATTAATTAAGAGAGCAACTGTGCAGAAAAGGTGTCCAGACAAGGAAGGGCATTGAGCCTTAAGAGCAACAAAGCACTTAGGGCCAAGGCAATGGTAGCTGATACGGGACAAAACCAGCAGAGGGAAGGCTTCTCAGAGGAGGTGGGCTTGAGGAATGGCTTGGGTATGGATCGATAAGGGAAAAGATGGAGGGATGATGACGAATTCATAGTGTGGTGTATTTCCTGGAATGCACCTATTATTGACTTGGAAACTACTTAAAAAGAGTTCAAGAGTTCAAATGCGTGGTTCTTTTTGTGAATGGGTGGGAAATTCCACTCACTCGATGTTGTCCCTCTGCGTAACAAGGGCTGCGCTCTACATGAACACAGAGTTAAGAACAAGAGGGTCCAATCTAGCATGTGCTCTCCTTGCAGCTCAAAGCGGTCTGGGTCCTGGTGGAGCGAGGCTCACAAGCCAGGGCCCTGAGCACCTCTGCTCTCCATTGGCTTTTCCTGGAAGAATCCATGTTCCTACGGTCTTAAAGTTGTAAGTGTCCTTCTAGAGAATGACTTAGGAAGTTTCTTTCTGAATATGCTTTTAAAAATAAGAATTTTGAGGGGCCCCTGGGTGGCTGAGTCGGTTAAGTATCCAACTCTTGATCTCAGCTCAGGTCTTGGTCTCGGGGTCGTGAGTTCAAGCCCTGCATTGGGCTCTCTGCTGGGAGAGGAGCCTACTTTAAAAAAAAAAGAATTTGGAGTAAAATTTAAGGCAAGATTATTTTCACTTTAAGCTACTGGCTGGTGGTCCAACTGGGAAGGGTGGGTTCCACCTTCAGCACCACAGAAGGGGTACAGGGCAGAAGCAGGAGGCCTGGTTGCCAGGTCCTGTTCTGCTACTGCCTAGCTGTCAGACGTTGGCCGTGTCACTTGATCTTCCTGCACCTGTTTCCTCATCCTTACACTTGTTCCTCCCTTGCTTCCCTGCATGGCAATACCTAGTCCTTTCAAATCTAGCTCAGATGTCACCTCCTCTGACAAGCCTTCTTGACTTCTTAAACAGGCTAAGTTACTCCCAGGACTCTGTCCCCCTCAGCCCTGTTAAAGCATCATGTACTCCACGTTGTTGCTCTCACTGAGAGAATTCAACCAGATGATCTCAGAGATCCCCCTGCCCCAATCTAAAACTCTCTGGTTCAGTCCTTCTCAAACCCAGGGGTATAAAATATGTCTCTTAATAAATTACCATAGTTACCATTTGCATTTTTAACAGGATCAATTGCAGATAAGTGTTACACGCTGTCTAGATTTTGATCTATGAAGCCTGTAAGATACAAGCCTGTTAATCATCTGCCAAAAAGCCTTCACAGTGAAACAGTGAGGAAAATACATTTTCTGTGACTGAGTATAGTGTTTGCTAAATCTGACAGAAGAGAAGTCTGTTTGCTTCAAAATTTGCCCCAGGCTGTTGGGTGTCAGAGAAGGCAAAAGTTTTAGGAGACATGGAATAATTTTACGATAGCAACAAGGAAGTAGAAGGGAGACATTTAGAGAATATTTATTTTGGATGAAATGTTAATGTCTATAGTTTTTCTTCCATTTGGAAGGCTTTCAAGTACTTGGGGCCCACTTGGGATTGCACAAATAATGAGTCTCCACTAACCAGGTATCGCTATACTAAATGCTAGTGCAGAAGAGACACTCATTGGCTTGGAAGAAGTGTGAACTTTATTGCATAAATGTTATGTTTCCAATTAGTGTTTGGTGAATTCCTTCCCCTATCGTTCCGTCCTGCTTTGCTCACATTCAGACTGCAGCTGCCTTCATTTAGCAGAAGGTGTACCTTTAGACTGCTCAGACCTGAGTTAAAATTTCAGCTGCCTATGAATTACTGATTTTCATAATTGGTTGGATGGTATGCTGGAGGATTGGCAGGGGGGCGCTTTGCCCCTAGCTTTTGTTTTTCTCTCACAACAGTGGGTCCTGCTAGGAGATTTAATTTTCAGGAACTTGTTTTTCCTTCCATCAATATTGGAATGTGGAGTTTAAATGTTTCCTTAGCTCATTCTCTGGATATGTGTTGTGAGTGGGCGTGTTCTCTGGATGTGGCTCAAAATATTGTTCAACATACAAAGGGGTGTCTGCAGAAGGAAGAGAAGACAATGCTCCTTCCTAGAGATGTGGAAACCACAGACGCCTCAGTGAACCCATTATAGTGCCTTACTTGGTCTGCTCGCTACCCTTTCCCAAACACAAATCACTAGCACTGCTGTGAAATGAGATGGTGAAAGATGATCAAGTCAAGGTCAAGGTGAAAGAGGATCACAGTTGATAAATACATCCTCCCGATCTGCGGTTGAGGTCCAGAAAAGCCTGCCTTCATTTTCTACCTTTTGCTTTCCATTTTTGAGATCCCGAAGACTAACTTTGTAGGAAACAAGGAGAGACCACAGAAGAAATCCTGCCTGGAGGAGGACTACGAGGCAGGCTGACTGCCCACTGGACTACTACTTCAAGGGGCAGTCACACCAGAAGAGGAGAGGTGGCTTTTCTCCTCCACCAGCTCACCATGGCCATGGGAGTCTGCTGACGGATTCCAGCACCAAAGACAGAAGGAATCGGCTGTGAGTGATGCCGGAGCTCACCAGCCATCCTCCGTCTCTCTTCTCCACTCATCCGGTACCTATCCCTCCCTCCCAGCACCTCCTCTATCTCCTGTTCTCCTGTGATGTGCCCCAGCCAAGAGAAGCAACTCTTTCCACTGCTTCTCTTGTCGCTCCTTAAGTCGTAAATGTGGATGTCAGCAACTCTTTCAGAGCAGTCGGTTAAAGAACCAACGTCTACCTATTACACAGCAGAGATCCACTCTCTGGTCCTTCCTTTTGGCTTCACTGTAGGATAGATGCTAATGCTTCAGGCAAGAGGAAGGAACTTGGACTCTGGGACAGCCAACTGCATGACTGGACATATGACCTTGACGGCAGCTAGTGAAATACTTTAGGTTACATCTATTACATCTTCTTTGATCCTGAAAGGGGACTGGCCTTATTATTGGCAACAAGGAAAAGAGAGGAAGACAAACTAGATGGCACAGCTGGGAGTTAATTCTACAGCAACTCACGGTAGAGAGGAGACTCTAATAGAGACCCTCTCATTCCCTCAAATGGAACCATGAAAGG